TGAGTAGTGGTCCCCAACCGGGTTTTGTCCTTGCAGGGTTGGAAACCCCAACTCATGGAATGCCCTCAACGGGCTCTGGGGACACCCCCAGGCAAGGCCTCAACGACGTCTCTCGGCCGGGCTTAAACTCCCAGGATGCACAAACACGACCCTGGCCTCTGAATACTCATTACTGTGTTCATAAGAGCCGACAACTGGGGCCCTCTCCTTAACCAGATGAGTCCCACATCCTCACACCCTGTTCTCTTAAGGTCCGTTTTAATATATTTCTGAACACAAAACCACAAATACATTAATCCTTTGAAAAATGATATAACACGGTAATAAACCATCGGGTTCTTACCTTAATAGGCGCATTTTCAGCTTCTCAAGGACTCTTCATGGCGTTCGTCATTAGATACTATTATCATTATCATTATTATCTGTAGCTTTTTGCAGTGTACATAGAGGTTATATCAGAAGGCATCGTGCTTTGCGTTACTAACGAAGTTGATTGCATAAAATGTTAAAGCGTAATACTAGTAGCGATGTGTTGAAAGCCTACGAAAGTTTACTCAAACGTTTGTTAACAACTTCAGGAGGCTAACACAGACATTTCTAGCACGTTTCAGAGGCAAATGACGGCCTGCCCGTTGGACACTCCTGACTCATGGTGGCTGCCTGCTGAGACATGTCTGACAACGGAACAAAAAAAAAAAGAAAAAAAAGAGTACCGACTCGCGAACTAGTAGCAGACCGAAGGCCAGTCTCTCGAACTTTAACTACCAAATCGCAACAGAATAATCACCCCGGGTCACCGTACAAATGAACGACGCCAAGATTGACCCATTCAGTGCTTTATGATATTGATACAGCTTTATAGGATGCTGCAAGTTTGTTCTTCCAAACATCTTTCGGAAGACCCGTAGTTGACAGACGAATCTGTACGAGGTATTTCAGTACGAAGATTTCTGTCTTCTGGGTTGTTGTGCCGTGTAGTCTGGTAGAAGTTTATCGACGTTTCAGAGGGCATACTGCCTCCATCATCAGGGCGATGAGTATGAAGATTTCTGTCTTCTGGGTTGTTGCGCTGTGTAGTCTGGTCGATGTTAACCGACGTTTCAGTGGTCCTTGCTGCCTCTATCATCAGGACGATGAGTATGAAGATTTCTGTCTTCTGGGTTGTTGCGCTGTGTAGTCTGGTCGATGTTAACCGACGTTTCAGTGGTCCTTGCTGCCTCTATCATCAGGACGATGAGTATGAAGATTTCTGTCTTCTGGGTTGTTGCGCTGTGTAGTCTGGTCGATGTTAACCGACGTTTCAGAGGTCCTTGCTGCTTCTATCATCAGGGTGATGAGGAATCCGCGTTCGAGGAATCGATTTGAAATACAGGGACCAATCAGTTATGATGGAGGCAGCAAGGACTTCGAATTTATACGTAATTTTAAATCGAATGTCTGATTCAGAGAGGCGGTGATGAGCTAGGAGGATATCCTTGGCAGTGACGCATATTTCTGCCGTTGGATTGGCAACTATGACAACTATTTTATCTGCGTTGCGCTGCTACGCAGTGGATATCTGATAATTGCGTTGCTCATGTAGATGTGGTTTGCCTTCCTCGCTGCTGTCTTTTGTCCGTACTTGTAACAGTTCTGCGGCCCTGAAGCGAGTATCTAGCACACACTTTTTCCATGAAATTGTAATGCAATTACACCTCTCATCTTGTAATTACTGTAACCTTCGCGCAGCTCAGAAGCCTTTTTAACTTCACTACGCATATTTTCCTTATGTCACAACGAAAATAAGCGTTTTGGCATCATATCTATGCACCCCCCCCCCCCCAAAAAAAAGTTAGAATCAGTCAACAGATTTTTAGAAAACTTTGGTTTCAATATCATTCCGCTAGAGACCGCTTCGTATCGGAATTGTTCTAATTTCGTGCCATTAATACTATCAACATGGCGGTCGTGCGCGCCACGCGATATAGGGACCTGAAGTGTTACGTAACATCTTAGAAAACTTTTGTTACTTGTGTTGTCCGCGTCATTTAACTTGGCGTAATTTAACATAAGACGGGCTGACGGAGAGGTTAAGCACGCCAACAACACACTCTGTGTAAGCAGTGTTCATTGTGTAACAGTGACGCGAACACGTCCAAGCGACGTGTTTCTGGCCGACGAATGACGTACCTAACCTCAGTTGCACAAACCAAGGCGAGCCTAAATCTGTTACGTGTAGTTCCTTTTCCCACGCAGCCTTAACTGACCCGGAAAATACCACAGAATTTTTTTGTAAAAAAGTTGTCAGTGGAACCACGGTTCCGGAGAATTTGACGTAAATACGTCTATACGGAAAGGAAGTTTATATATTGGCTTTATTATAAATATTTCCTTTATACATGCTTTACAATCGAGTAAAGTTTGATTAAGACATTGCTTAATCAACTTGAATTAGTTACGCTTAAGATGGGTCTGTGGTAGCTGAATGTAATGTAAAGTAATGTTTTATAGGTAACAACAATGCCGAGTAAACAGATGAAGTTTCCTAGGTAACCATTGTTGTTTATTTGTTGATAATCCATTGTTACACTTTTTCGTTCTACTTTTTGCCGAATGACACTGTGACCCTAAAATATAGACGTATTTACGTTAAAAAAATCAGAAATGTCTTGTGAATTCTGAGGGGATGGTCCAGTTAGTTTACAGTTCATATTTATCATAGGCGCGGATATAGCGGCCCTCTGTATACCGTCATCCCTGCATTGCATATGTACCGTTAATGAAGTCCGATACAGCGCCTCTAGGAGGGCGCAGAGTTACTACTCGGGGTCAGCTGTGCAAATGGCGACGTTCCACATCCTGGCAGGTATACAGTAAGTTAACCTGCTAGTGGGAGACGAGGTTATGTTTAAATGGAAACATTAACAGATAAAATTCAAAGATCTATGGTACAACCGATCCAGATTCACTTTTTTTTATAGGTCAAACGAATTCTTCCGTGGTTTTTGTTACACATTTATTGAGTAACTAACACACAGTCCACAAACACAAGTGTTGATGGAAAACAAAAAAAATTACTTGTATGCCTGCAATGAACAATATCCTGAGTGGCATTTCTTTCAAATCGGATTGTGAACTTTTCACGATCACGGCTTCAGGATAGCTCCGCCTTTCAAGCGTTCCAGGACTGGTGTGATGGTTATACAGCGCTGACGCGGAGGGATACAGTACGATATATGGGTTCATGTTGGTATAATACACTACTCGCCACGCGCGCGTCAGTTGTTTGTCTACGTGGTTACATCACATGATGACGCTACTGCAAGCCAGACACCCTGGCGGCGCTGCAGTACGTCCAAAAAGGTCGTTCCGTATTGTAACTCCATTACATAACACGAGGGTTCAACATTGTTAAAGGTAATTATATGTACCACCTGCTTTACTAATCAGTAAATCTTCATTTTGTATTTGTTTCCCCATGATTTTCAGTGCAACAATTATTTCCCCGAGCTGTATTAACCGAATGGTATTCCTAGCGGTAACATGTTCGTTTTGTTTGAGGTCCGGACGAAATTTTTTTAAATATTACAGAGATGAGATTGGGCTTCATAGGGTTAACATTCTCACAACCTAACTATTTCCTTAATAAGTTCTATCCGGTGGTAAATTGGTATTAAGTCCAAACATTACAACCGACGTAAGATTGCTACGAAATCATATTTTTTTTTTTACATTCTTGCAAAAAATCAATCAAGAATTATAACTTTTCGAAAATTATTTTCGTTTACTTAACTTAACATTAAATGTGTTCATACTTGGTTTGTTGTTCGTTTTGTAGTTTAGTTTATATAACGACACTCTGTCAACTGCAAAGGTTATATAACATTAAATAGGAGTATGATTTTAATAATGAAGTGGCTGTACGTATAAGAAGCGTTTGGGGGGCATATTTTACGTCAACAAGAAAAACCACGAAATTCTGAAAGAGGATAACAGGTCCTTGGGCTGAAAATCCATCGGTGAGCCTCCAAAATACTATGGAAAAATGCGGAAAGCAGAAACGTTGTCACTTCTACTTTTGACATTAATAACCATTATCTAATCTCATTTGTTATCGTGTAATCTTTGTACTAAATAACACCTCATTCAGAGAACAGTGCAAACCGAAGACAACTGATAGAATAACCAAAGTTTCCTCTTCAAAAGCGAAGATAATGCACACAAAAGATTAGAACAGGCATGACATATGGTTGGGACAATCCAGGCCACGTAATGCATTACAAAGTTCTGGAAAAACGCTGACGTGACTGGATCGATTTCTGGTACAATGACTCTGAGCAGTGTTTTAATTCACAATTTATTTTGTGGTGTCAGCAGCTGACTTGAATTGAACAATAATATAATCACTGAACTGATTGAAAAGAACGCGGAAGGAAGCGGCCGTGGCCTATTTTAGGCACTCCCTGAAAGACACACACACAAAAAAAAACAGAATAGCCGTCCTCCTGGTAGAAATTTGAACCCGGAACCTCCTGAATACGAAGCCTTTTCTTTGTCTTCAACGTGTGTTTAATCGGTTGGTTGATAAGACAACACGTAAACATAATGGAAACGAATATTTTACAGCTGAATTTTAATTTCGTAAATTTCGGGGCTGCATTCGACAAAATATACAGAGCATATATATCTAATAAATTTTGGGGAGGCAAGTGTAATGGTTATACCACATCGATCGTTATAAAATCGCACTTGTTTAAAGTTGAGTCCGCCTTCATCTCTGTTGGTCAATAAACATGTATGACAGTCGTTCTTTACACAATAGCAGAGACTGCACAAGACAGAAAGCTAACCACAGCGACTAAAATAAAGATTCGTACGGTAGGTGTAATGACATCAGAGCTATCTTTTTCAGTATGGCATATTGCCGGGAGAGACAAAGAGAGTTATTGCGTCACTACTTGTTCCTACAGCGCATGCGTGGCTGGCACGTAGCCAACATAGCAGCTGTTTTACAGTTCCCATATCCCCACCCTGCCTATCGCATCAGCTGTGCTGCCAGGCTCGCTGGCTAGCTAGCTAGCTGGCTGGCTGGCTTACCGTCAGTCCAGTAGCAACTCTAGCAGCTCTGCCAGCTCTCAGCCAGGGACGGATACAAAACAACAGGCTAGTGAATGCATAAGTGGTTCATATGTGTGTGTCTGTGTGTGTATTACAACAACAACCCTGTAGGGTCGAGGGCTAGAAGATGCATCGATCCGGTCCCGCGAAGGGGTGGAGTGACGAGTGATAAAAGGACAATGAACCACTAATCGAACAAGCTGGGAGATGCATTAGTAACTGTTCGAACAATCCTCGACTTAGACTCGGTGAACACTTTGTATTGAGAGGCCCCAAAGTCGTGCACTCAAACTGAGGTTTTTAAGTATCGCTGCTCCAATAATTGTCGTGATTTTTAACACATTAGTAATTACTTAAAACGTAATTATCACCTTAATGGAGTCGTGTATAATTTTTTTTGACGGAAGGTTGTATTCTTCGCCAGTTTTTATGCTAGATACAGGCAAGGCTGATGAAATGAGTGAGACATATAGCGCAAATAGGGAGGATACTAAAATATACGTAAAAATAGGATTTCAGAGTGATAACTCTATGTACGAGGCTCAGTGTAGGGGGCCGTTGGCGGACACTTGTAACCATGGCAATGAACCTTGGCGTTCACATACAGGACGGATAATTTCTTAACCAGTTAAACGCATAAATTTTAACTTTGTTCCATGGCGAAAAGAGTAATGTAATTCTAAACGTAATACGAACAGAAGCTTTTAGTGCAGGTTAATTATAGTATACCGAAGTGTCAAAGTGAAAATGCAGAAATCTCACGTCCTGGCCAATTCTTTGTTGTTGAATTTTCAAGGGCAGATCCACTAATGATATGAAGAACAATGATAGAAATGCCAGTACACTCATACATTACAAACTTCAATGGAAAGCTACATTGTAAAGCTGCCCATACACTGCTTTTGATTATAATTAATCTTATGTGAAAATATGAAAGATGTAGACACATTTAACTCCAGACCCCAATCTGTACCGCGTATGAGATAAAAATACACAAATATTTTTAGAACTGTTCAGTGTATTAATAATAGATCCATGTAGATGGCGTGAAACATCGAGATCGATTATACCCATATTCATAGCTGCGATACGTTTTTCGACTTTATGAATAATCGACATCGATTCGATATTGTTAAAGGCTCCTAAAGAAATGGCGTATCGTGTGAAACAACTGCATATTAATTTTTTTTTATCTCTTTCATATTAATGACGTGTATCTAAAGCATTGTTCGATGTATGTATTTGAGATAAACGTTTTAAAAAAAAACAAATTTACAGATAACACTAAAGTACCAAGATTTATGAAGTTTCAGTAATGGCCTTTTGTACATTTCATAAGGCAGGGTAAGGTTTTTTTTTTTTTTGATTACATATTACAGAATTTTACTTAAATGACCCAACTATAGAGTTCAAAATTTTGAAGGTATTTATAATTATGACCGATGATTGGACATTATTTAATACAGGGTCTTAACAGCAATGTCAGTCTTACGTGAACCACAAGAATTAGAACAATTTTGAAATATTATGCATTTAGAATCTAGCCTGGAATATGTTTTGTGGTGAGTGTGAACTGGTGAAACCTTGAAACAAGTGTCTGTTAACACATTTAATTTGAGAGATGAGAAACCAGGCGACAAAAACTGTAAATAATTCTGTTCTCGTAAGTACATCTCAGTTTGTGTCTGTAAAAATTATATTTCGGAATGCACGAGCGTTACGGGTCTGATCAGATTTTCTCGTAATATATATATTTTACTTAGTGTTCTGTCTGACGACAGGTCCATATGAACAGGATCCTTCCATCCTTTTCTCGGACTGGGACCTGTTCATATACGTTCTTGGCAGATGATCCAGAAGTGGTTTGCCATTGCCTTCTTCTGGGTGTGAATGGAGTAATTGTTGGGATGCCACGGAGAAAACTCAGTGTTGCCTAGACCACGGCCTTGCCCAACAAAAAATAATGTTATTAAGACGGCTATAATTAGCGTCTCAAATATACAACTCTTAAATAAGGTACCATTACCTATCGTCACTTCAGGTACAAGAATTTGCAACATGGAACATAGGAGTAGAAAATGTTTGTTACATTCAGTGGGGAAGGATCTCACCAGATACAGTAGGATGGTTCCCAGTGTGTTGAATAACGAGCCATGGAATAGCACAGGAAAATATATATAAAGGATATCGAGTAGGTACGACTTAACAGCTGGGAATTCGTTGCGTAAGAAACAATGCCGTCATGTTGTCTATGTGACTAAACACGAAGGACGTGGCTCAGTAGAGTCATTAATTTCCAAGAAATCTTTACAGCGCAATGCTTTACACGCCCAAAGTCCATATTCTACAAGATACGTCTATCGCTGTAATGGTTAAAAGTTTGTCTCAAACCTCGCGTTAGTCTGTCCGTACCGTTAGGATTATACGTGGTTACGAATCGTAAAATATCTAGTTATTATACCAAATACCATTTCGAATACTAGGTATATAGCTTTTACAAAAAAAAATAATGGCGTGTTATGGCTGTCCTGAATAACAACGCTAACAGAAAATTAGACCAGCAAACTCGTAACCGTACGCACGCCTTGAATTCTGCCCACAGCAGCGCTTACGGTAGATAATGGAACTTCTTCGAGACTGCACCTTTTAAATAGAGTGCGTTGCTGTTATTCGAATGCGTTGCTGTTATTCGGGTTTCAACATCGTTGTAGCAGGCGGGAGACGCACCTTAAACCTGACATTGACACACACCAACAAAAAAAAACATTTGTCAGCGATGCAGTAGGGCTGTAGGCCTGAGATATTGATCACGTACAGGGCCTCCAGAAAGCGTATTTTTCCGGGCAATTTTAAATAAAGAAATTCCAGAGGGAGTGAACTTTCGATGTGATTTTTCTTCAAAATCTGTTATCTGTCCGAAATCATGTGTTATTAACAAGACGATGGCTGTAGTATGGTAGAAGTTTACCGACTTTTCTGAGGTGCTTGCTGCCTCCATCATCAGGACCTGTGATGGAAGAACCAAGCACCTCTGAAACGTCGGAAAACTTTTACTAGACAACATGGCACATCAACCCAGATGATAGCCATCATCATACTTTCACAAGAAACTGAAATGTCAGTCCCGTATTAATAATTATAAAATTTAGTGTTCCATCTCTAAATATGGGCGTAATGATTCGAAATGTTACGTCATATTCTTTCCCAAATATCTTCTTTTAATACATAAATTTAAGTTATTATATTTTTGCAAATTTATTCTAGCTCCGTATTCATTTTCTGTATTGATGTATTACATTCTCAGTACTGAAATGAATTATAACCGGAATTCTTTCGCGAGTGTGTTCATTCGTCATCGCAAAGATCGTATATGCTCGAAAAGCGATATCCAAATGCACTTGTGTTAAAGGTTGTTTTACTTCGAATTAAGGCACGTTGAATTGTAAAATCTCGGTACCTTTCAATCCTTTGTTTAAAGAGCGATTAAAATATATTTATATCAATGTATTCATGTAATTATGATTTTAAAGCACACTTAAAAATGGATTCATTTAGATATAATACATAATCGATTTTAGGAAACATTTCGAATTCTGAACAATGTTCTTGATCCAAGTTTAATTCAAGGACGAATTTTGAGTAGACCGGTTCGAAAAGAAATCAGCACGGTATAAACAAAAGCGGTTAGATCATGTCAGAAGCATTTGAACATTAGACGCCTATTGACAACCGAAATGGAGGAAGACACAAGACTTTTACGACGATGTAGGGTGTGAGTACTGAATATTGATGCTGAAACAGATCATTTATGGGCTTAACTTCGTGACCGAACGAAGAGTTTGATAACTTTTAATAACGCTTAAAATTTCTCGCTGCAAATGTGGAACTAATTAAAGCAAATTTAAGAAAAACTGCAATTGACTAACTTATCGTGCAAGTACTAATTAAAATATAAGAAGAAGGATTAAATCAATTCTAATGTACCTGCCCAAACAAACAATGAAGTGGGCGTACTCCCCGCGGAGTATGACATTTGATAAATTCATAACACACACAGACTCTAAGCTGTAAGACCAAACTTTGAAAGATTTTATACAATTCACTTTGTCGAATGTCCTTCAACCCCATGGGGGTCATCCTCAGTATTTGGTTCGAACTTATGAATGTGCAGCCATAAATTTTTAAAATTTTTAAATATAATCAGATTATCCAAACTACCAATTTCTCAATCGGATTTTTTCCTCAAAGAAACTACGACGCTGAAATGATGGCATTAGTTGTTTAGCTCGTTCATTATCGATACAGCGTGTTCTTATCGATAGGCTAAATGCTTTAATAATGACAATTCGATGTACCCGATACATGGAATCGATCCCGGCAATTGGAGACAGAAGGTTTTAAAAAACAGGAAGTCGTAACTTATCTATATTTCTTTAAACATATCTATGAATTCAAAACTTTCTCTAAAAACTTTTAACCATGTCAAATTGCAGAATGATATATATCGATATATCGATGTACCATCTCTACTACTGACGTCGTTAGTAAAGTTTATTTATAAATGCGTGTAGACGCGTAGTTATAAACGTGTCATATTGTATAACAATTTAATTTTCACAGTAATTTGTTTTGAGAAATAACCTGACACAAAACGTGTAGGTAGCGCCTCATCTCATGTTCAAAAATTGTTCCTTGCAATTTATTTTCTTAAATCTGACTCATATGTAGTGGTTATTTGCATCCACAAACACATGGAATAATTTGCATTTAAATTTATTCTAGAAACTGTATGCCAGGACAACATGAATTTTCATAGTCGTATTTTCCCCTGAACTAGATGCAATGGTGTGACAGCCCTGACCCGGTCAACATGAATAAAGTAATACTTCCGTGCTCACTTAAAACAGACGGAGTCAACTAAGCGATGACATGCCCGACTTCTTCGGAGCATCTATTCTGAGGCTTTTATCACTTTTAAGTGTTCCCTCAGTACATGCCGGAAGTTGAAAACAGGTCGTGTCTTGTCCCCCTCTTGTTTTTTTTCT